CTCCTTTGGTTAACCAAACCGAGTAGTGCACTGCAACACCGGTTTTTGCAAGAGGCTTCGCAGAACACCACCAGATTTAGTTAATCAAAGGTAAGCAAATTACAACAGTTTCATCCATATGTTATCACTCAATGTAGTTGAGCCATTCGGCTCCTGAAGATAAGTAGAAATGAAGAATTTTGAAAAGAAAAAGCACTACCAAAAGGAACAGACAAAATGAAATCAAATTTTATGAGATTGGTCCCAATAAATAGGGTGCAATGTGTCAGTTATAGTAGTTCTCAACAGTTAATTACCATCACGACAAAAAAATACCCGACTGTTTGTCATTGTGTACATTGTAACGGATATTACTAATGAGCTTACGACAAGAAGAGTCGTTGCTCTTCGGACTAAGGATTTGATTTTTAGCCAGCAGGTCAGCAGTTTGTGCATCGTCCCACCTGCCTATGTGTGGCAGTCAGGGAGTATCATTAACCGTCACAGAACGGGTGCAGCTCATTCCCCACTAATGCACAAATGTGTGCATGGTTGCCATACGAATTTCAATATATTTCGAGCTAACAGCAATCAAACGTTTCACATGAGATTTGTTTATTTGATTTATAACACAGTGTTACAGTATCATTAACTTGATGACGTTCCCAGCACAAGTTACTACTCATAATCATATCAATGTAATCATACCATTTTTAACAACTGATCTTTTTTACAGCAGAGTTAGACCTACTTTTATAAAAATTATTCTCATCTGGGTTTCTTAGGAAATGCTACAAAATAACTGACATCTGATAGTATTTCCAAGTCGTCTTGGTAAGGTTATGTTACCACAAAAATCAAAGCAGCTGAGCTGATTTCACTCTGAACTAGATTCGTAAGCGGCACTTGACATAGATTTTCATCTCTTGGTTGAGCATTGAGTTAAAAACTGCTTGCTGTCGAAAATTTTTTGGCATTAAAATGAGGACCCCCAGAAAACACCTCACCAGAGCTAAAAGAACAAAGTCAGAAAAAATTCATTGTCCACCACGAGTGGGATAATTGCGTAAAAGAACAAAGGTTTGAGAAAAAGGCATAGAACAACCGAGTCTACCAGTCTTTATACTCACATAATGGATATTAGATAATAGGTAGGGGTGAAACATTGAGTCTGTTTTCACACGTGCGATTTTGTTTGTCTGGATCTCTGTACATCCGAACGGTAGTTCTTTCTCGTCATCGTAATGAAGGTGAGTCTCGGTAGATGTTTTGTACAGATATGTAGTCAGAGTAGTTGCTTTGTCCAGAGTTCAAAATACTGACTGTAGTTTTCTAAGTCTTGGTTATATTGTTCTCATTTTAAAAATGACCTTAGTTTCGTTCAGTACTGCATTCTGCTGTACTTTGTCTTAGCAGAAAGTTTTAATTTAGATAGATACAGATACCATCTCACTTATGATAGTCTGTGACTTCACTGTCAAATTGGATGTAGTCGCGTGAACACAACTGGTATAATACTTGAATCCATCCCCCACAACCTGATAAACCAAAGTTTCAGCTTTACAGCTGCCAATAATCAGGATTTCATTCTCGTGAAAATGATGTTAATCTATTTAGTGTGTTAGTTGCTGAGAGGATGAAGTCATAAACTAACCTTACTGTCGAACACTTGGGTGGAAATGCTCTTAGCCACCAGCAAAAGACCGGGTGCACCATTGTAGTCTTTCACTGTCAGCCATTGATTTAGACCAATTAATTGCAGGCTAACTTAATTTACGATACCGCTGTCCCAAGCATTAAGTAGGCTCACTGAATCAACCTTCAGGGATGTGATGGTTTGCATATGCATTGTATTTATCCTTGTAATCAGTTTTGGTGCGAATATTCCAATTCACTTTGAAAGTAGTGGACAGGAAATTTTACCGATATAATGCTGCGGTTCAGTGGTTTTAAGGAGATGACTCAGCCAGTTGGTCACGAGTACCAACGCTGCTCCACCTATCGAAGCTTGATTAGCCGGGTGGTATCACGCCCTCACGCGACAGGTGAGACTCGTCTACTGCATGGATGTGTACAAGGTCGGTGTGTTTGGTTGTTACCGATTCACAACTAGATGTAGCGTACCGAAATAAGTATCCGCATTTGTTCGGAGAAATATTTGTTGAAGGGATCGAAACACTAACAAGCCGTTGCATTTGCCACAAAAGTTCCGTGTGCAGTGGTTTGATGAGACTAAAAACTCTGACTCATAAGGGACCCCAAGCACATTTAATATTCCCTATGGATTGATTACTTTTGCCCATGATTTTAAGGAGGTACAGTAAGGGAATGCTGACAAGTTTATTCTACGTTCAAAGTCTACATGATGTGAGGTTCGGGCTTGTGACACCACGTATTGGCTTCGATGTATTCATATTGCCTTCATCCTTATCTTTGTGCCAAACTTCGTAACTTGCTTTGCCTGCTTCTTGGTTACTGAGTCATTTACCCCAATTTTTCTATCGCACTAATCTGACTTGAGGTCTTGAGTGAAGAGGATAGTATGATTAATAGCTTGTGTTTGTACTTGCAACAGTTTTTCTTTGAATGCGATGACGAAAGTGGCTGCTATCACATTGTTTTAGTTGAGCGTTCCTGTCGTTTACGGCTAGGAGTACCGGTACTTCTCTCGAATGTGATTTGGCCATTGCTTATGGGTCTTTTCTGATGTCGTCGAAGGTGGTCCGTATCGTAGAGTCAAGTAGTTGTAAAAATCAATACATAACATTATGTAGGATGTGATAGGCTAAAATCAGGTCACTTTTCCCACGATGAGATAAGGGAAAGCGGTTAGCTTTCTTATTCATTGTTACTAGGGTCGGTGTAAGACAGCCGTCAGTAATCTAGTAACCTTGTGGGGCCATTCTAATATATCAGCTTCCTTCTTGGAGCCTGGATTGGCTCAGATACAGTCGGCTGAGGCACACCTGTTTTATGACGGCTAGCGATACTACCTGAAATTTCAAACCTATTAAGGTGGGGCGGGTTCGAGCGTGTAAACCAGTGATAAAAGGGTTTTGTGTAGTACAGAAGTGCTCATAAGTGGGGATCACAATTCACTGACCAAAGGAACAATGTAACGTACCCAGTTTTCATTGTCTAAAATCCAATCGTTTGCATGGCAACCGGGATTAACGGCTAAAAACTTCGTGATATGGCTGTGACATACAGATCTATACAACCATCTTAATCGTAATGCGGAATACCTTGTTTTAATGATTTTTCATCATGTGGTTACTTTCTCCCTTGTATCTCTATCTCCGTGATGTATCCCTTTGTTGATGTACTAATACATGTAACAAATAAGACCGTTAAGCAGTGACGCCGAGTCCCACTACTGTTGTGTTCATTGTATGGCTGCTTAATAGAATGTTTTCCTCCAATGGCACTATTGTAAGTGGAGGATATATTGTAGGGAATTAGCCAAGACTGGTGGACATGAAGATAACCAAAATGACTCACGAATTTCATATGAGAATATCTGTGCTTGACCGGGACTGGCACGAATGCAATTTTTTGATAAGGATTAGGCTTTCTGCATATGGGGCTGATGAACTTAAACCCTCGTACACAAGAAAATGTAGCAAAGTACATACTTCAAGCCTTTTTCCCAATCCTTATGTTTGGTTACATTGGTAAGGCTGAAAAGTGATACATTCGTAGTAAATATTTGTGCAGAGCGTCGAATAAAACTTTCAAAGTAAACTTGAAACAGGATTTGTCAGGTATGTCTTGTATCTACTGTGGATATCGAGTTATTCCTAACTGCATATATAAACAATTAGTGATAATAAGTAGTAAATGACTATATTGATCAGCATCAGAGGTATACACAAATTTAGGATGTATGCTCAGGACCCTACTAGTCTAAATGTTGGTGATCAGCCAGTTTCGAGATACTGTAAAATAAAACCATTTCTAAGTAAGATTTTCTTATTAGTAGTCGTACAGTTAAACATTGCTAAATTCTACATTTGGAACTGTGAAACTATCCAATTAACCAGTAGCAGTTATGCCTGTCATAGTGGATAGGCTGTCAGTGTTAGCAAGCAAGTTGATGTATGGAAAATTATGCGAGAAAGGTACTAGATGTGTTTCAGCCTATCGTTGAAAATAACGTCAGTAAATTAGGCTATTTGAGTTCAATAGCATAACCCTTCTCTATGTACTTCGGTCGGCGAAGTAGTAGCCTAGGTCTACAGAATATGTAGCTTAGTTTGGTACGTATGTCCATACCAGGACGGGTTACAGCTGTGATGCATCTCTGAATGCTAGCACTGTACATGGTATGTTATCTATAGACAACCAGCAGTTGAACGCCGCCAGACCATTGACTGAGTTCTCCGGTGTACATGTCACTAACGATAGAAAAAGTAGAACTTCATTTTTAAAAACCAAGTTGAAACCGTTAAATGTAAGCACAGAGGAATCAATGAATTCCACCATTTCTCATGTTTCAGTCTAAAAACTGTTGTACGGTGTATAGAAAGATTGTGATACGGCTCTATAGTTTAAGCACTACTTTCAACTAGTGATCAAGGATCCCAACATCTGCCTAGTGATATCATAATCCTTTGCGTAACTCATGTACCACTTTCTGTTCTTCATCTGCAGCAAGTAGCAGTTTTCAGCAATGCATACCTGTATTATTTTGTAGGTCTAACGTTATCGTCAGTAATCTCGTCATTCGTTTTTGTTAGGCTTCTCATATATTTCTGTTACGCGAAGCGCGATACAGGACTGTATACGCCCTTCAATTTTCGAACAGTGACTTAATGCTGTTTTTGTTTTTTACATTTCCAGCTCAACATAGCGTTTCCAGCCAATGGAACACAAAAGTGTGTGGACATAGATGAAGAAATCAGACTCCGACCATTTTATGAAAAGCGGATGTCCCATGAGCTACCTATCGATTTTCTCGGAGAGAAGTGGAAGGGATATATCGTTCGCATAACTGGCGGGAATGATAAACAGGGTTTTCTATGAAACAGGGTGTTTTGACGAATGGTCGTGTAAAGTTGTTACTAAGCAAAGGAAGTTCATGTTACCGTCCTAGACGTAAGGGTGAACGACGACGTAAAAGTGTTCGTGGTTGTATAGTTGACAGCAATTTAAGCGTAATTAACCTGGTTATTGTGCGCAAAGGAGAAAATAACATTCCTGGGTTAACTGATGTTAATGTCCCAAGACGCCTTGGTCCCAAGAGAGCTTCCAAAATCAGAAAGTTGTTTAGTCTGTCAAAGAAAGATAACGTCTGTCAGTTTGTAGTTCGTAAACCGGTGCCTGCTAAAGAAGGAAAGAAAGAACGTTCAAAAGCTCCAAAAATCCAACGTTTAACGACACCATTGAGGTTACAGCGTAAGCGTCATCGACATACTGTGTGTTAGTTGCTGAGAGGATGAAATCATAAACTAACCTTACTGTCGAACACTTGGGTGGAAATGCTCTTAGCCACCAGCAAAAGACCGGGTGCACCATTGTAGTCTTTCACTGTCAGCCATTGATTTAGACCAATTAATTGCAGGCTAACTTAATTTACGATACCGCTGTCCCAAGCATTAAGTAGGCTCACTGAATCAACCTTCAGGGATGTGATGGTTTGCATATGCATTGTATTTATCCTTGTAATCAGTTTTGGTGCGAATATTCCAATTCACTTTGAAAGTAGTGGACAGGAAATTTTACCGATATAATGCTGCGGTTCAGTGGTTTTAAGGAGATGACTCAGCCAGTTGGTCACGAGTACCAACGCTGCTCCACCTATCGAAGCTTGATTAGCCGGGTGGTATCACGCCCTCACGCGACAGGTGAGACTCGTCTACTGCATGGATGTGTACAAGGTCGGTGTGTTTGGTTGTTACCGATTCACAACTAGATGTAGCGTACCGAAATAAGTATCCGCATTTGTTCGGAGAAATATTTGTTGAAGGGATCGAAACACTAACATGTCGTTGCATTTGCCACAATAGTTCCATATGTAGTGGTGTTGCATCACACACTTTCCCAAAATCAATAGCCTAGGTTTGACGACTTTCGACATTGGTGCTGTCCTTGATAGTTTAACTTTACTCGCTAAGCTGTAGGCACCCGGTCGAGCATCCTCGCCATTTGGCACGCTGTCGTGTTAGGTTGCACTGCTCGTATTCGACTCTCTAGCCAGTTGGAACTCATTGGTATCTTGGCACAGCCATCTGAATATACTATTCCATCCGACTACGCTACCCCGTTTTTCATTGGTCTCGTTTTCATGGGCATATAACAAGTCCGAATAATTAGTGATTGGTCACTGCGTCTGCCAAGTTTGCACCAGGACAAATCCTAAAGTAGCATTCTACAATCTATGGAGCCAAAGGTATCATCTTAACCCAATTCTCAGTCGTACCGAACTTTGCTTTAGCTTTTTTACTACCGAATACGGGCAATCATATCACCCCTTACTAGTTGGGCAGGGATGCGGCACCGTATTGCCGAAATTTACAACGTTACTAAACCTGGTGGCCTTGAGGACAAATACTCAACGATGACATTAGGTGGCGGTAGAGCTGTCGTGAAATAGCAGAAGTTAGAAATACGGACCACCGGATTCCAGCCCGGTGGTTCAGTGGCAACTTGCTGGCCACGGAACCTGAAAACCATGGGTTTAATCTCTGGCGGGGTCGTGGGTGAGCGCTGCCAAGGATCTCCTTGCCAGGGCCAAACGGCCGTCGAGTGCAGCCAGATTTCCATTGTTCCTCCAACTGATGTCAACCTACGACGGATACCAACCTGAGATTACTAAATAAAGTTTTCACTGAAAATAGTCTTGAAGTAGACGGCGTGAGACTAAAATCCCCTTGTATTGTTTTGCACCAACTTAACGCAGACAACTAACCTCTTTGAAACCTTAGAACCCTTCCTCTTGATGAAGAAAACTGTTTATTTTAGCCCCACATCAACATTATCGTATAAAAAAGTGTAACGCACAGTCTAGCTCGCGCATATTTCCTTGCAAGTCGTTTTTCTCACAAAGGCTTCTTTGGAAAAGAAACAAAGTCAGCCTAAGTGTTTTCAAGTCAACTACTGGTCCAGTGTGTACTTGGCTCTGTGGCTTTGGAAAACAGTCCTACTTTGAACTGCCCACCTAGTCTTCTGAGCAGATTATTGACCACACCACCCACGCAATCTCCTGTAGGTCCATCGATCTCATTGAGCATACGTTACAATTTTGTTTCGTCGTCACTGGGTTTCACCAACACTACTCTAAAATGTTTACGGAGGTGTAAAAAATACTCCATACCCTACCCACCCAGAAATATCCCGCCTTTTTCCGAGAGAATACGCTCCAGTGACGTAGTCAAAGTTCCAACAGGTGCTTTTTCTGACAACTGCTTACCCCGTAACCATACAAAATGGAGCTGATCTCGTATAAATGGCCAGCCTTGATGGCATATGTAACGGTCTGGTAACGAAGCCTTAAGTTTCATTGGCTGCGATATGGCAGCAGTTGTGGTATCTGGCCGGATATTTGACTTAAAGCATTTAAACATTTCTGTTCTTAGCACAGACCCAAACAGTTGCTGTATAGTGCATTACTATATACATACAATTACGGTCCCAAATTTTCCTCTCCGACCTCCCCAGCATTTAAACCGTGTTTCGCATGGTGTCCGTAGACAGCAAAAATGTTTGAGGACTAGCTTGTTTTCAGCTTAGTTCATGCTCAACATTTGACCTGCTACGTACTGTCGCTGATTATGTGACCCACGTTAAATGAAGAGTGTTTTAGGACAGCGACCATAGCCAGACTACTGCTCACACTGAGTGATGATGCTGACATTGACTTTAACTTTTGTTGTGCAGCGAAGTGGTTTTCGCCTAGTATTTGTGGCCAGTAACATCCAAACGACAGCTCGAAAGAGGAGAACATTTGTGGTGTAATGACTCATTCACCTTCACAGTAGGTGTTGGGCTCCAGTTCAGACGCAACAGTTGTTACGATACGCGTGACCACGTCTACAGCTTTACAGTGAGCTTGTTTGAATCCTGCTTGGGAGCAAATTTCTCCACTGTAAGATTACCTCAGATTTGGAACAGAGTTCCTGATAAAGTGAAGGTGTCCAAATTAACCTCTGGTATAAGTCGGTTGCTAATTAAGTTCTCACCATCTGGCACCTATCCTAACTACTGAGTGCGTCGACACTATCCTCTGTGACATTTGGTGTACTAAGCCCCCTTAATGTAGTATGAAACATTTACCACACCCGCACTGACCTTTCATACGAAACGTCGAGGAGACTTCATTCATAACATTTCTGGGAAGGATAACACTTGAAGAGTGAGAAATGCTTGAACTTATATATTCACCTGGATTAAATGAATGTATGGATACTTACTTATTCCTGAAACCCTTGAAGTAGGTTATTGTTGACCAGTAAAGTTACGAACAGAAGAATTGCTGTTAAAACAGGCGTTTATCTGACGAAACACTGGGTTTTGTAGAAGGGTCGATAATGTCGACTACTCACAACGCAAACACCGAATATCGCGCCGTTTGATGCCACTTTGGTGTGGAGAAATGCACTGAGTAAGAATGATCCAAACTCAGAAGGACCTGTATGTGCTGTAAAGGGATATTTTCCTGTTCTTTTCATAACTTTTAGACACTTTATATCATGATAGATTTTAATGTCCTCCTTCTTTACCATACAACACTGCTCAAGCCTTTTAGGTTTCTCTGTAATTATCAATTTGATGATGCCTATGAACCGGCTTTCCTCATGCTAAACGTATAGTCTGAGAATAAAATATTTATTTATCTATTTTATAAGTTCTCACCTCATACTAACGGCACATTCTGCTGTACGTGGCATAGTAGGCACAAACAAAAGTCCTAAACTATACGGTAGCATGAAATTTACGTTCTTAGACATTTATTAGGCAAAGCATATAAAACGAATGCCATAGCAAAGAAATTTAAGTAAGGAGAAACATGCATACAGGAAACACTCTTTGCTGGAATTCTTGCTGCTATTTTGCCTGCCGTTTTGTTTTCGTTTTTTATCGTCGTAGAAGAGCAATTCAGTTCTCATTGCTGGCTTGGTTGTCACTGTAAACAGATCTTGGCTGAAACTACTCGCTATGGAGGGTTGCCAGTGTTACCGCATTCACAACACCTAGCCACAACAAACGGAAACAAAGTATGTTCACCGGACTACAACGTCAGAATTATCAAATCCTCGGATTTATGGATCAGGAAGGTGACCAGGAAAGTCTAACACTTACTGACCACAAGGTTGTTCCGACTCAGGCGGACAAGACGCTCGGGAAGTCCACGTGACGCGCTCAGACAAAAACTGTTGTTTCTGGATGTTTGAGTGGAAAAATGCAGGTATTTAGCGCCCAGCCGCAATATTCATTGACATTATGAATCTCTGACGAAAAATACTATAAGCACGTATGAATCACACAGTTCTGGAACCACCAACGAGGTATAATAGATGAACAACTTGCGCGTGTTTTCTTTCACGAACTTTTTGTCGTCATCCTAAGCAAAAGGTACGAGGTGTTACGATATAATTATCAGCTCCAAGCTTTGTTGTTCTCTAGGCAGTGCATGTGATGTCCGGATACAAAACCCAGTGCTCTTGTTCGTTCGAAGACAACACTTTCGCTTGCCCAATTTTTAAATTCCTCATGGAATTCAGAAATAAATATTATTATTATTATTATTATTATTATTACTATTATTAATATTTATGTTTTTAACGTTTTCTCGGCAACATTGGGAACAATAACAATCAGATATTGCCTGTTAGAGCAGCATGTATTCGTGTGGTTGAATATTCGAATTAAAAATTATTCATATTAATATTAGAATATGATAAGCACCTTGGGGCATGACTTGAGTGGTCAAGACATTTTCCCCATTAACATTTGATCCACGGTGAATAATAGAACACAAAAAGCCCTTGATGTTAATGAGTCAGCCTACTGAATTTCTAATCACTGCTGCTTGGTGCACATCTGAGCTGAACGCCTACTTCTTTTACTGTGAAGGATATTTACTTCTCAGAAGGGGATGGAGCCACTGCTTGTGGTAGGGGATGTGTCATGTGAGTCAAATCGTACAATGGAGCTGCCTACTATGAAAGCCCGATTCATAACATAAAGATAATGTACGTGCATCACGAAACTTCTCCACCTAAATGACTTTTCTACATGATCCCCACCTATCGCCCAGCCTGGAGCAAAACAGTGAGTCGCTAAACAGAATAATTACGGCCCATCGCTACAATCCTATATTGGGTTTTATCTACAGGATTAGTCATAGTGATTTCATTATGTCTGAAATAAGTTGAGGACTGGTTTTGTCCCACCGCGATATAGTTATCCCTTTGACACGACCAAA